CTCTTATCTGCGAGATGACGCATTAACAGTCATTGCCAATTTTCATCTAACCCCCGAAAATTACGCACTGGCGTATGAAGCATTGCAACTTCGCTACCAGAATAAAAGACGGTTGGCGACTCACTACGTCAATCAAATTCTAGGTTTTACTCCGTTATCATCCCCAAGTTCTAGCAGTTTGAGACATTTTTTGAATATTCATTCGAATTCCATTAATGCTCTTAAGGCTTTGAATCTTCAAGACCTTGGTGATTTTTTGCTGTTTCAATTATCGTTTGCAAATTTGGATCCTGTATCTAGAAAAGCTTTTGAGAATAGGCAAAGTTCAAATTCCGTTCCAAGCTATCAGGCGTTAATTGATTTCATAACGGATCAGAATCGAACGTACGAACTTCTCTCTCAGGACACAAAATCACCGAAATGTAAATCCCTATCAGTTAAGTCATTCCGTGCTTCACTCATGACAAATGCCAAATCCGATGCCTCCTCTACGTGCTCTGTCCCGTGCGTGCTCTGCAAAGGTTCACATCCCTTTCCGGCATGCAGCGAATTTCTCCAGAAAACAAATGAACAGAAATATGATACGTTGAAGAGATTGAGACGATGTTTCAACTGTTTGGGTGCTCATAATCGAAATGAATGTCAATCTCGTAAAACTTGTCGTATTTGTCACAGCAACAAGCATCACTCCGTGTTACACCAGGAGTCCAAGGCGGATACCTCCGAAACTAGTACTTCTCCCTCTGTAGAGGAAAGAAAATCTCCCGTTGTGTTTTCGTGCAAGACCTCAGCGGAGCGCAACACTGTTTTACTAGCGACTGTGACAGCCCAGATCCAAGACTGTAATGGAGATTATCACAAGATAAGAGCTGTGGTTGATCCCGGCTCTCAAGTATCAGTGATTACTTCATCAACGGCGCAACATTTGGGATTAAAAAGAAGCAGATCTCCCATTGAAGTTACTGGCATCGCCAGTTCTCCTGTCCGAACTCAAGGTCTCATTCGTACCACTCTACGCTCTAGAACTCGTGCTGATGTCGTAAACGTTCACGCTGTTGTACTTTCGGATATTCCTAATAAATTTCCTAGTCAGACGTTACCTTCTCACATTAAGGATCAGTTCAGTCATCTAACGTTAGCTGATGAAAACTTCCATCAAGCTGCTCGAGTTGAATTCTTAATTGGAGCAGATCTATATCCTCACATTTTATGTAATACGCAGCCTAATGTTATTCAAGGACAACCCTCTGCCATTGACACAATCTTTGGATGGATAATTATAGGCTCGATTTCATCTTCAACAAATTCCCCCTTGTGTTCTCTTCTCACATGCACCGATTCTCTTGATGATACCGTTCGTAAGTTTTGGGAAACTGAGACTCTCGCTGATAACCTTTCAGTCTCCAATCCTGAAGATGACTTTTGTCAAGCTCATTTCAAGGACACGCACTATCGCGATCGAGCAGGCAGATATGTGGTATCAATGCCAGTCCGTGAGCAGCGCTCGCCGCTTCTCAGCAACCGAGAGACAACTCTGAACACTTATCTCAAAATGGAAGCTCGAATGTCTCGGCGTCCCCAACTCAACGCTGCTTATATTACTTTTCTCCAAGAATACCGCGATCTCGGACATATGCAACTAGCCGCACAACCTTCCATGTACGTAATGCCTCATCATTGTGTTCAAAAGGAAACTAGTTCAACTACCAAAGTGCGAGTTGTGTTTAACGGATCCTCCCCTGACTCAAACGGGACAACGCTTAATCAGCAACTTCTGCCCGGTCCTAAGCTACAAAAGGATTTGAGCCACATTCTCATGAATTTTCGCCTTCATGCTATAGCAGTCACAGCGGATATTCAACGGATGTATAGACAGATTTGGTTGAATCCAAAGCAACGTTATCTCCAGCACATATTCTGGAGGCCAGATCCCGCTTCTAATGTACAGGAGTATGAGTTAAAAACAGTGACATATGGTTTAGCACCATCAGCATATCTTGCTCAGCGTGTCCTTCTCCAGCTCGTCGAGGACGAAGGGCATGAGTTCCCATTAGCAGTGCAAGCTATCACAGAAAGCACCTATGTGGACGATATTGCGCATGGTGCCTCTACAGTTGAGGAAGCGAAGTCGCTACAGTTACAACTCGCAAACCTACTCAATCGTGGCGGTTTCCAGCTGAGAAAATGGGCTAGTAATGATCCAATTGCTCTAGATCATGTTCCAGAACAGCATCGTGAATCTCCGTTGAATTTCTCAAGTGACGATCCTTCTATTAAGATTCTTGGATTACGGTGGGATCCTCGGTCTGATACTTTCACCTATTATGTACAAGAATTTGATTATCAGGTTACCAAGCGCACTGTTCTTTCTTATATCGCTCGAATCTTTGATCCCATGGGGTGGTTATCTCCCATAGTATTTTGGGCTAAGCATTTTCTGCAACAGATATGGATCTCTAAAGTGGGCTATGATGATATTCTGCCGCCTTCCCTATCGGAGGCTTGGGGAAGGTTTTCTTCTCAAATGCGGTGTCTCCGCGCACTTAAAATTCCTCGATACATTCTCCAAAGTTTGCCACGTGTGCTCTTGGTGGGATTCTCGGACGCTTCCTCTAAAGGATACTCCGCTTGCATCTATTTACATGCGTATGATTCCAGTAGCACTTGTAGCAATTATCTTTTGAAGGCCAAGAACAAAGTGGCACCCCTCAAGACATTGACTATTCCTCGATTGGAACTCTGTGGAGCGTTGTTATTATCTAGACTACTTCGTGATGTGATTAAATCTCTTAAAGCCGTAAGATTTGAAAATGTTCATCTCTATACCGATTCTCAGATTGTCCTTGCATGGCTCCACACCTCTCCTCATCTTCTCAAAACCTACGTGGCCAATCGTGTAGTTCGCATATTAGAGCTTACATCTCTTCACCAATGGGCACACACAGTGTCGAATCAAAATTCAGCCGACTTTGCGTCTCGAGGATTATTTCCCGAAGAGATCATGGATTGTCATTCCTGGTGGAATGGACCAGATTTTATGCAGAATCCGCCGTCCAAGTGGCCCGTAAGAGGCGATAATTATGTCGCACCCGAAGAGCTCCCTGAGCGTAAAAACGATCCTATAGTTTTGCGCATTCAAGCCGACCCAGAAAATCCTCTGTATGAAGTTGTGTCACGATTTTCTTCATTGAGTAGACTACAACGCGCTTTCGCATTTATTCGGCGATGGCTACTCCGAATAAGATGTCCTGAGATGAAAGGTCCACTCTCAAGCGAAGAGATGCGATACTCGACCTTATCGCTTGTGCGTCTCACACAGCAAAACCATTTTCCTCTGCTCATAGAAGAGTTGCGTTCCAAAGGTCACACCACAACTCCATTAAAGAAGCTGTTCCCATTCTTGGATGCAATGGGTATAGTTAGGGTGGGCGGACGGCTACGACACTCCGCCCTTCCCCTAGATGCGAAACACCCTCTGCTTTTACCTCAGAAAGCTCATCTCTCTGCGTTAATTTGCGACTACTATCATTTGTACGCTTGCCACGCTGGACCTAGAAGCGTGCAGACGCTTATACAGCAGATGTTCTGGATAATATCGATTCGATCCCTCCTACGGCAGCGCATTTTTCGTTGCATTCGCTGTTTTAAGTTTAAATCGAAACCTGTATTTCCCTTGATGGCTGATCTACCGCCAGCTCGAGTTCAACCTAGCAAACCGTTTTCCTCTGTTGGCATTGACTTTGCCGGACCCTTCACGGTCAGGGAAAGTCGTCGACGTAAGGCCCACACATACAAAGGGTATCTCTGTTTATTCATATGTATGTCTACGAAAGCGGTCCATTTAGAAATGGTCTCGGAACTCTCCACGAAAGCCTTCTTAGCCTCGCTCAACAGATTCACCGCACGCCGTGGTCTACCCTCTGACATATACTCTGATTGCGGACGTAACTTTCTCGGCGCCGCTCGCCACCTGAGGGAGGTGAGTCAGTTTCTACGTTCGCACTCCTCTGAGATAACGAGTTCCTTAACTTCTTTGGAGATAAAATGGCATTTTAACCCTCCAGCCGCTCCCAATTTTGGCGGCCTATGGGAGGCTGCGATCAAATCCGCAAAGAGTCTCTTGTATCGATCAATCGGCACCTCTCTCTTAACTTTCGAAGAGTACAGCACGCTATTTTGTAAGATTGAGGCGGTATTGAACAGCCGTCCTTTATGTGCCGTCACCTCTAACCCAGAAGACGCTGTAGATTACCTAAGCCCTGGACATTTCTTAGTCGGCAGACCTTTATTGCAACCTCCTGAAGCTCCCTTGGAGGACAACTTGAATTGGACCTGTCGGTGGCAACTACTCTCCCAGCTGTATCAGCGGTTCTGGAAGAGGTGGTCTACGGAGTATCTCCATACTCAACTCCAACGTCAGAAGTGGAATAAGGATCAACCAAACATTCAACCCGGCGCCATTGTCGCATTGTATGGCGCAGAAACTACCCCCCTTTCATGGCCGTTAGGACGCGTACAAGAGGTACATCCTGGAAACGATGGAGTCGTCCGTGTGGCCACAGTGAAAACCGCGACCGGTTTATATACGCGTCCGGTAAACAAGCTCGTGATTCTCCCAACCCAATTCTCAATGGAGAATTGAGTGAACTCTCATAATGTACATAAGGAACTCTCTTTAATTTTCGTTTAATTTTTCGTTAAATTTTGTTAAAATTTGGTGGGCGGTTATGTTCGAACATAATTGCTCCATTCCGGCGCACGCGCGAGTGAGCGGAAGTAGTACGCTACTGAACGTACAAGGTGCATGAGTGAACGGGTTTTACTCTCGCGTGTTCCTCGTTGTACTTCTCCACATCAGGCTACCAAGAACCAGGGGCCCCTGTCACCTACAGCAGGATACTCCAGGTTAGTGGTACTTCTCAGTTATTCTCGGTCCTTCGCGCAAAGTTAATTCACGGCACCCCGCGTGCACAACTACTATAGGTGATCTTATCAGCGCATTAGATCGGGGGACCTGGAATAGAAAAACATATGTTGTCTCGAATTGCGGCGCGGAACAAAAAAATTAATTTGGCCTAGGAGTGGATTGCAATCTATTTTATTATTTAACAAGTTGTATAAGAATTTTATTATTAAGAACATGCGACGTGTTTCTAGTGAATTAACATCTTTCTTTGGATGGACTCTAAGTGATTATTATATATTTTATAAATAGGATAAATGAGTGTGGCGTATTCTAATCTAGATCTAATAAATGCATAGTATAGTAATTTCAACGCATTTACATTAGAAAATTCTCTGCAATTGCGATGCATAAAACCAAATAGTGTATGACATTTCGCAATAACTTCAAGAACGTGCTCATTAAAGTTATATTTGCTATCAAAAGTAGCTCCTAAATTCTTAATGTTAGGTACTTTTTTTAATTGAGTGTTACCAATACGGATAAATCATAGTCTTTAACTTATGACTAAAAGACATAACATGACATTTGGAATTATTTAATTTCAACGCGTTTGTCGAACACCAGCAAGTTACTGCATCAAGATCACTCTGAAGAACTGAGGAATCTTCAGTCGAGTTGATTTCCACATATATTTTCAAATCGCCAGCGAACAATAACTTATTACACGAAATAACATCTGTTATGTCATTAATATATAACAGAAATAACAGAGGACCAAGGTTTGAACCTTGTGGTACTTCCGATGAGGCAATATATGGATTGGAAACAAAGTTCCTATATCTAACAAATTGCTCCCTATGTAGTAAATATGATTTAAACAGTGCAATGAGGGGTGAAGTAAATCCAAACCATTTCAATTTTGTTAAGAGTATGTTATCTATCTGATCAAAAGCTTTATGGGAGTCAGTATATATGACATCGATTTGACCGTTATCATCTAGCGATTCTGCAATATATTGACTAAAACATGCTAAGTTAGTGATAATGGACCTTTTATGCATAAAGCCGTGTTGATAAGGTGAGATGAAATTACGAACTTCACCATAAATCCTCTTATACAATATAGTTTCGAAAACCTTGGTAAAGTTACACATTAGTGGTATAGAACGATAATTTTGAATATTATCAATATCACCTTTTTTGAAGATTGGACATACGAATGATTTTTTCCAGATGTTCGGCACAGTTGAAGTTTTTAGTATTAAATTAAAAATATAGAGTAAAGGTTTAGCGAAGATGTCAGCACAGTCTTTCAAAAAGAAGCTAGGTATACCGTCGAATCCCGTTATAAGAGTGTCTTTAGAACTCTTCAGTGCTGCAATGACTTCATCTTGGGACATAGTTGTGACACTAACTGGATGATAATACAGTGTTTTTGCTGGTATGTTAATATTGACATTAGAGGGATTGTATACACTTTTAAAGTATTCTCCAAATGCGTTGACAATATCTTCTGGACTGGTTAATTTTTGATTATTGAAATTCATTAACCCAGGTATTCGCGTGCTTCCTTTTTTCTTTTGTATAAAAGTCCAAAATCTGTTTGGATTAACTGTGATCGATTCTTGAATATCGAATAAATACCGCTTATGAGCTGAATAGATTAATTTTTTTGATTTGGAACGCAACTGCTTAAATAATGCAAAGTGGTGTTGAGACTTATGTTTTTTATATTGCTTTAACGCATAGTGCTTGTCACGAAGACATCTGATATTGGTATTATCAAACCAATCTGGATAATTTGAACTTCGTTTCGGCTTGTTGGATATTTTAGGAACAGAATCTTCGAGGATAGCGGTAAGAGTATCATAAAACTTTGTACATGCGTCATTAACATCACCAGAACTTTGCAGGAATGACCAGTCAGTAACTACCAGCTGATTGTAGAGCTTATGAAAGTCAGCTTTCTTAAAGTTAAAGATTTTATTTGAACTATTCATTTGAAATTTCATGGGCAGCACTGAGTTTGTTTGAATAAAAATATCTAATGCTGGGTGATGCGGATCTTCTGGTACTAATGGTTCATTAGATCTATCAACTAAACAATTATTGGTCGAGAAAATCAGATCTAAAACACGGTTGTGACTGTTTACTATTTCATTGTACTGAGACAGATTAAAAAACAAATAGAAGTTATTTAAGATTACGCCATAGTTGTTAATAATGTTGGTATTAAACATGGGAAGATTAAAATCACCTATTATGATAACATGATTCTTATTTAATTCGTCAACAGTGCTAAGGATATTAAAGAGTAATTCATAGTCGTGCGAAGTAATCCATGGAGGGATATAAATTGCAAAAATGTAGAAGTGTAACCCTTTGTTGAAAGATAATTTGACACCGATTATGTCAATAATCGGCAGGATTTCGGTAATCATAGACAAGTCAATTTTTTGACACAAGAACTTGTTTGCTACTGCTAAGAGAACTCCACTCCCTCTAGACAAATTTAATCTATGTATATCTCTGTCATGACGAAAAATGAAATAATTATCTGGGAATAATTCACTATCAGAAATGTCGTTTGTGAGCCAAGTTTCCGTTAAGACAATAATATCACCGTTATAGGAACAGACATTGTTATAAAAATCAATTACCTTAGAACGTAAGCCACGGACGTTTTGGTAAAAAAACTGTACGCTGGAACTGGATGCACTCAATTGATAGATTATGTCTAAATCTCTGGGGAAGACACAATATTCAATATTTTTTAAAAATGTGATTGTTTAGTGTTTAATTAATCGTTCATTCTTCGAAGGAAATTGCATTTTTAGACGAGGAGAGAGCATTTTTCGCTTCAACTTTTATATCAGTGCAAAGACAACATTGAGCTCTATAGGGAAGACGCGGTCATTTTTGTTTAAAATTTATATTTATCAAAATATTTGCTTTTTAAAAAAATACTGAATAATGAAAGTAAAGTGAAACTAGGCAACCCTATTTACAAAGATCCGTTTCAATAAATGGTTGAGTTTTACACACCAGGGAGCCTTGCCGACCGACCCTTTCAGGTAATCAGTTCAGGTATGTTCTTTAGGTCATAAAACTCATATATATTCTTAGCTGACCAACATTGTTGAAACTCTTTTACAAGTCGATTTCTTTCATTGCTGACATAATTTGATTTAAAAGTATGCAAATTTTTATAATTTTATACATTCTACTAAAATATTTTCTTTCATAAAATGATTCAAATATTTTTTATTAATCTGTCATTTTATGTATTAATCAATACACAAAACTGACAAGATTTAGATTCTTATCACTTCACTAACCACTTATTTACCTGAACAATAATATTTATTTAATTTTAATTTTTTGATATTGTTTTCCGCACCACCTATGAGGTAGAGTATATTATAGGCACGTTTTTTACGTGGTATCTCCAGTAAACATATTCCACTATTACTATTTATTCCTGTGTGTGTTTATACTAGAAGGTCAAAAGATTTATATGAACTGCACATGACGCGAATACAAATAAAAAATTTTAATTGTACAATTTTTTCTTTACAATTTGTCTAATGGGTTGACTTGTTTAATAACGAGAATCTACTCTCTCCGGAAGTAAGGCATATAAATAAAATTTTTCTAGGGCTCTATCATATTATTTTTCCAAAATTTATCATCTCGTTGAATTAAGCATTATTTAAATTGGACATTTTCTATGCAAAGATTTATAATAATATTAATAATAATAATATTAATAATGTGTTCATTGCCCAACAGCTCATAAGAACCTATTACAGAGCAATTGATACAAACTAAAATATTATCAATCCAAACAAAAAAAGAAAAGTAAATAAATAAGTACAAATAAATATACCGGATACCTGAGCACTCATAAGTTTAAATTAGGAGTTACTTAACAAGTAGAAAAGTAATAATTACTCTCTTGTGAAGCTAAATACTTAACATCTTTTAGATTTATATTAAAAATGTCACAATCTCTCAGTTTGTTGTTAAAATTACTACACATAACATTAATCGGGCTTTTTACCAAAATATTTGTGCGAGCGGTGGATAGATGCCAAGGTAAAGAGTGTCTGTTATTTACACGTGGTACATGAAAGAAGATTTTGGCCAAAAGTTAACTGCAGTCAATTTTATAATTGACGATTTTAAAAAGAACCATTACAGCACTAACTTCTCTTCTAGCATGTAAAGACGGTATATTAAACTCTCTTTGAAGTATCAAATTGTCACATCCTCTAGCAGGGTAGGAGCCATATTTTTTAAACCATAAATATTTAAGAAATTTTTTTTTGAACTGATTCGATGACATTAATATAGCAATAATAAATTGAATACCAAATTAGGCAACCATACTGTAAGCGTGATATAATGTACGCATTAAACAGCATTTTCATAGGTTCAGTAGAAGTGAAATCACGACATTGTCTAATTATAAATCCAAGCAAAGAGAGTGAATGTTTTACTACTTCATCAATATGGAACCGAAAAGAGAGCCGAGAATCAAAATAAATTCCCAAATCTTTTACAACATCACTCCTGGTGACGTGTTCTCCATCTATTGTGTAATCAAATACAATAAGAGATTTTTTATTACCAAATGACACAACTTTACATTTACTAATAATAATATTCAAGAAGTTATTATTAGAACACCAAATTGTAAGTTTATGTAAGCCCTCCTGAAGTTGCAAACCATCATTAAGATCATTTATAATACAAAAAAGCTTAACATCATCTGCATATAATAGAATGTAACAATTCAGTGAATCAGGGAGATCATTGATAAAAACAGAAAAAAGTAGGGGCCCAAGATTGGAGCCTTGGGGAACACCGGATACTGCCTTAAAGAAGAACGATGAAAAACCATTGTAAAAAACGTATTGCAATCTATCACTTAAGTATGATCTTATAAGTTCCAAAAGTTTACCAGAAGAACCGTACGATTCTAACTTTAACAATAATAACCTGTGATCAATTCGGTCAAAGGCCTTTGCAAAGTCTGTGTAAACGGTATCAACTTGGGACTGATTGTCAAGTGCCTCTGAAAGAAATTGTGAAAAACATGTGAGATTTGTTTCAGTGGAGCGTTTACCCATAAAACCATGCTGAATATGAAAATAGATATGCGAATACAGAACTATCTCAAAGATTTTAGCGAAGTTTGAAATTATGGATATTGGTCGATAATTACTGACATTCGATTTTTCACCTGATTTAAATATAGGGGTAACTTTAGAGGTTTTCTATTTTGAGGGAAAAGTACAGTAAAACCTGTCTACGCCGGAATCGCGCGGGTTGCGTTTTTTACAACCGAACTTTTGCTAATTTCTTTAACACCCAAATTTTGCTGCACGTGTACATTAATTAAATCCATTTTGTTGTTATTGGTGGTTGTTGTTTGGGCCATTGCGAACACACATATAACCACGAGAGATACCAATTAAATGAGAATTGAGAACAGTGATTTTTTGTTGACAAAAAATGCACCTGCAGGTCCACGAATTGAATTATATATTTTTCGTAGAAATCATCAACTTTGTTCTCGCTTCCGTTTTACACAGAGTTGGGTGCATGTATTTTGACACGTTGGGACTGCGGAAAATTTCTGCGATGAGCAGTTTTCCGCCTTCTACAGAGTCCGGCATAGACAGGTTTCACTGTACCAGTACTAAGAGCAACATTAAAGATTATTGACAGAAGCTGGACAAACAAACCTGCACAGTCACTTAATAGAAAGCTTGGTATTTGATCTGGCCCTGCTATAAAAGAATTTTTAATATTACGTAAAGCAGACAAGATGTCTTTATCAGTGATTTTACTGATATTTATGGGAAGAGAGTGAACTCCAGTTGTAAATTTTTGTGGCGATGAACTTTGCGACGAACTGTAAGAAGTCTGAAAATACATAGCGAATGCATTAATTATGTCATTAGTAGACAGCGGATTTCTGTCGGGCTACGTCACGATTATAGGTGGGAACGCGCTGGATCGCCGGGACTCAGTAGCGGGTGATAGGTAATCACTAAATTTAATCGTCACTTATTCCATAAATACAATTCACGATTTATTAATCAAACGGCTAAGTAAATGAGAACGGGAATTAACAGCAGAGTGCAACGAAGCACCGTTATTCTAATCTCAAATAAACGAAATGCAGCCCGTAACTGCAATGAATTCCCATTACGTACGAGCCGTACCGAGTTTGGCCTTGCCTAGCCCGACAGAAATCCGCTCTCTAGTCATTAGGTGAATTTAATATATTATCATTGTAAGCCATCTTACCCGGAATTCTTGTAAGACCTTTTTTTGATTTAACATAAAACCAAAATATTTTAGGATATTTAGAAATATTTGTTTGCATAGTCAGTATATTTTTTGTAAGCAGCTTTTATTTGGTTTTTAATAATCTTACGGTAATATTTAAATTTAGAATAGTAAAATTCGTTAAGTGACTGTTTAAATTTTTTGTGATAATAAGATTTAAATTTAATATTTTTAATAATAGAGAGATCGAACCAAGGTGGATACTGTAATTTATCTTGATGAATATGATATACTGGAACACAGTCTAAGACAATTCGGCGCGGCCGACTTGGCGCGAGACATTTTGGCGCAAGGCCAACTTGGCGCGGATCAACTCGCACCCAGAAAAATATATATAAACTAGCTGACCCGGCCACGCGTTGCTGTGGCTAAAGTTTTTGTTATATTACATTATAGTAAACAATCTAAGAGGAACAATAAGAGAACATCAGTCACGGAGTCCACTATGCTTTTTCACACAGATGGTATTTGTAAAAAAATATGGTGATCTCCTTATTTGACTTTCTACTACTATAACCCTTTAGTACAATGAAATTATTTACGAACAAAGACGAAAATGTTGATGTTGGTATACAAATTCACTGGATTGAGATTTGAAGGGGAAGTACGTTGAACACAATATTTCGTTCACTACAAAATAAATTTAATTAATTTTATAGCGTCAACAACACGTGGTAATTATGCTGTTAAAATGTAGCTTATATGACACGTTCGTAGATTTACCATAGCAGCGCCATCTATTGATTACTTACTCAACCCAGTCGAAAGGTATCGACATCTGTTAGAATCATTTGGAGTTAACAGATAATTGTGACTGTCAAATAATAACAGACACGTTCACTACAAAATAAATTTAATTAACTTTATAGCGTCAACAACACGTGGTAATTATGCTGTTAAAATGTAGCTTATATGACACGTTCGTAGATTTACCATAGCAGCGCCATCTATTGATTACTTACTCAACCCAGTCGAAAGGTATCGACATCTGTTAGAATCATTTGGAGTTAACAGATAATTGTGACTGTCAAATAATAACAGACAAATAATTAGCAATAAATTAAAATTGCGACTATAATTTGAGATTTAAACTATCCTATCTCTCAAGTTGGATCGAACTGCACATGGTGTGCGAATTTTATTATAATCGGTTAAGTGGTTTAGGAGTCCATTGAGGACCGACATTGTGACACGAGATTTATATATATTAAGATATATTAGCTGACCCGGCAAACGTTGTTTTTGCCATATAAATTGTTTCTAGTGAATATTTTGGTAGTTAAATAAAAAATTAAATTAAAATAAATGAATACATTATAATTAAATTACATTATAAATTATACATAAAAAATTATCGTACGACATGACTATGTTCAACAGCCATCTTGCAACCCTATTGCGTATCTGTGGATGAAAGTAAAGATACTAATATCGTTATTAAAAAATAAGGGCTGGTGCTAGAAGGGTGAAAATTTAGGGTTATATGTATTTTTTGATGTCAAATCTTAAAAAAATAAAAATAAAAAATTTTGTCCAAAAAATAAAAAAAAATTGTTTCAGTGGGCCATCCTTATCACTTAGAAAAAATAATTCACGACCTATTCTCAGACCTACGGAATTATACAGAAAAAAATTCATAAAAGTCGGTCAAGCCGTTTCGGAGGAGTTTGGTTATAAACACTGTGACACGAGAATGTTATACAGGGTGACTGCGAAATATGTGCAAATATTTTAACCACGGCATCTCCCACCCTAGTAGAGCCGAAATATAGAAAAAGAAATTAAAAATCTAATGGGGCAAAACCCCCATGAACCACCCTCGATACGAAGGCACTGAGCCACCTTGTAAACAGAGTTGGAAAAACGTTCGAATAAAAACGACCTAAGCACTTTCAGTTTCAATTAAAAGTAAAACCGACTTTTTGCTGCTTATCATTCGTTCATTCATTTACTCATTCATCGTTAAAGGTCAGTGTGAAAGTTTTTTGGTAATTTTGATTCTGACGTATGTTTGGTCCTTGTCACAACGATTTTACATTGTGTATTGGAACAGAAATAAGAGCAACTTAGAATGCTACTACCTTTTTACAAGAAATGTTGAAAATGTTGTCCTTGACTAGCAATTCAAGCGTCAGAGCGTCGCAAGAGGTTTGTTGATAGGTAAAAAAACACCGGAGTAGCGGCTGCCACTTTCACTTGTTGAAGCTCTTCGATTATTTCTGGACACTGTTGATTTCCACAAACGAATTGTTTCATTCAACCAATACACGTTTCTTGAAAACCGTCTCTTGAAATCGTACTTGTTGATGACTATGTGAAGTTCCATCGGACAAAAAGTGAGTTACACAAAGTGGACAATCAGTGAACTCCAATCCGTGCACTTTGTCAACATGGTATGGTTGTGACCGTGTATTTTTAATGTAGGATGCACTACAAGCTGCGAAAATCCAATTTCTTCTTTCTGTCCTATCACGACCACGATCGTGAGTTTGAGGTTGAAGGAACCATGATCTCGGAGATGCTGTACCACTGACGTAAATGTTCGCGCACATGGAATCGCGCGATTTGGAAAGCGTTTGATCCACAATTCGCGGGTCAAGCTTGAGTTCCCATCCGCCACCCCATACAGCATTACCATGTCGGCACGCTCTGAATTTGTAAAATTCACCATTGTCCAACACAACCGAACACACCCAGCTACGGCAAGTAACTGATACACGACTGTCCTTATCGTCTTTTTGCACTAGTTTTTTGGTTCTTAAACTTCGTCGCTGTGTGCCATTCATTGTAGTAATGATGTAGGTCAAGAAATACTACCAGCGGCGTGTGTAACAATTTATATGTAATTTCAAATAATTTTTTCTCGACACTGCTACCACTTAGGACCGTGAATTTTATGCAGTGACATACTCGTATCGTGAGCTATTCCCCATTTTTTTTTTTGCACATATTTCGCAGTCAGGCTGTATATTAGAAGATATAAATTTAAAATTATTATCTACTAATACACCATGATCAGTCATCACTCAGAACCGCGTAGATACTTAAAACTTGGCTATAAACTGAATTAAATTTAGAAATTAACAAGTTTTAAAAAATCATTTTTAGAAGACAAAATTACTCGTTGCTCTCACCTATGCCGGCTGTTCCAAAAAAAAAGCCCAGAGGTGTAGCTGTCTTATTTTTTCAAATACAGCATTGTGTGATATGTTAAAGTACATCGTTTTAAACATATTACGATTTGATTTAGAAAAGTATATTAGTTTTATATTATGATATGAAAGAAAAAAAATGTGTTTATAAACAATCAGCTCAAGATAATGAACATTCTAACAACAAAATTATTGTTAACACGGTCGAGGATTGCAAATCCCATACCATGGAAGACACTGGTCTATTGGTCATTAATTACAGTTGCTAGTCTACGGCACTGTTCACGAAATCCGCTGAATTTACAGAACTCCGCGTCTGTCTATAACTTCTTTTCCGCCAATTTTGTGAACATAACCACAAAAATATCCCTCTAAGGTACATATATGATTGTGTTCTCTTCCTGGACGTTTTGGAATAGTAGGTAAGTAAAACATTTATAATTATTCTAAATATCAGTGTTATTAATTAGTTCAAACATAACGTCCACTCCGTACTGAGTGTACCCACTTGAAAAATACGATGTGGGTCGCCGGCGCCGTCAGGTTTTAATTGTTAAATACAGTAAATAATTACAATTTTTTCTTGAGAACTAAAAGTGCTTTACATTTTACACAAGTATTGCTTTTAGAATTTTCTTTAATCTGAACTACTGATAATTATCTACGTATCTGGTATATCTATGTATGTGCAAATCTCGCAACGGTTGTAACTAATGACCTCTCGCTTTTCGATTTGTTATGAACAAGTTTAGTGTTCAAGATCAGATTCTTTTGGTTAATAGTACCTACGAACAAGCGATGTACTGTAACGGCAAAATATTTGTATCTTCATAAAATTTTAAGTTTACGTCGCTTGCAAGGTCATGGGGTGTTTTAAATACTATTATTGCAATTGAGTCCCCCAACCGACTCTCTACTTTATGTTTTCTCG